TTTTTTTTTTTTTTTTTTTTTTTTTTTTTTGGTGCTGGCCGGTATGGGGATCCAAACCCGTGACCTTGGGGTTATAAGGCTGCGATCTAACCATCCAATTTTACTATTAATTTGATCAGAAATTTTACTATTAATGTGATCAGAAATAACATTTTATGTGTGTAGGAGCGTGAGAGGAAAAGGCGGCACGTCCGCACGCTCCGCCGGTGGTGGCGGCCGCTGAGAGGCTGGAGAGCCGAGGGCGGGCCTGGGAGGCGGCCCGGAGGTGGGGCACCGCCGGGGGGCGGCCGGCGCCGGCTTCATCTGAGGGCGCACGGCCTGCGCCCAAGTGCTGAGGACTCCGAGGCGCGGGGCGACGGGCGGCCTGAGCGGCTATGGGCCGAGACTGGGGCTTCCTGATCGGCCTCCTGGGCACCGTGTGGCTGCTAGGCTCGGGCCACGGCGGGCAGCAGTCTCCGGAGACGGCGGCGCAGAGGTGCTTCTGCCAGGTGAGGGGTGTGCGCGTCAGTGCTGTGGGTCCCGGCGTCCTGCACCTCGGTCGTGCGCCCCATCTCGCGCGCTCCCGCAGGTGAAGGGCTGGGGGTGCGTGTTTGCATCTCTTCCTGCTCGGAATGACACCCCTGTGCTTCTGCTCCGTGGCGAGGCTAAGTCCTCTGCAGCTCGCCTTAGGTTGGCGTGGACCGGGGCCCGCTGGGCTGCCTGGCAGTCTGCGCGCTCTCCCGCGCTTCGGACCCGGCAAGGGGTGAGGGGTGTGGGTGCATGCTCTGTGTTTTCACCGAATAGGTTTATGCTTCTTTGTTGGTCTTCTCTGCCAAGGAGGGTGTGCGAAGTGTACAGCGCACACTCAATATTTGCTATTTTCACGGAACCTGGCTCTTTCTAACTTCTAACTTGACTTGGAACTTATGTTTCCACTGCCTGTGCTGGGTGCCTTCTCCAGTCTTTCTGGCTAGGATAGGTTTTTGTAGAAAAGCTGCTCTCAGATCTCCTGTGTCAGGCGGGCGTATGGCTACATGTGGCTTTTCTGTGTCTAAGCCTGGTGTCTTTGGGGCTGCAGTTGCCCTGTGGCTCCTCAGCCTCTATGTGCTTCTTTTTTTCCTGATTGTGATGAGATTCTGTTATCATGACACCTGTTTAGCTGGTCTGAATTGGGAAGATGGTTCCAAGTCTTAAATGCATAAGTTTGATTGCAGGGTTGTTACGATCACTTTCTATTGTAAGAGATGTGGGCTCCTTGAGCAAAAAATTAAAAAAAAACTTACAGTTTTCCAGTATTTCAATATTACCAGGTTTCTGGTATTTCAATATTATTACTCTTGTGAAAGCCACCGTTTGGTTGACTTCTGTTGATAAACATTACACTTTATAGAAAATTGAGGGGTAGGCGTCTAGATTATTCCTTTTAAGTTAATTTTACTATTAATTAATTAATTGTTTTTTTTTTTTTTTTTTTTTTTTTTTTTTGGTGCTGGCCGGTATGGGGATCCAAACCCGTGACCTTGGGGTTATAAGGCTGCGATCTAACCATCCAATTTTACTATTAATTTGATCAGAAATTTTACTATTAATGTGATCAGAAATAACATTTTATGTGTGTAGGAGCGTGAGAGGAAAAGGCATGATCTCTTTCATTGCTTTAAATTCTTGGATTTTGTTTGTTGTTTTGCTGAGTGATTTGGGAGTTGGTAAGAGTGTCATCTGGGAACCTGTAAGGGAAGTTGAAAGTTGCTGCTTTACAACCACGGTATTGAAAAGCTCCTTTAACTTCGATATTGCAAACGGCACACAGTCAAGTACTTCAACGGAAAAAGGGTCATTTTTCTTCTGATTACAAGTAGAATGCAACACAAAATTTAAACAATTAAATAAATAAGTTGGAAATAAAATGACTTTAAAATGAGGTATTCAGTGCTGAAAGAAGATGTCCAATGTAACATTTTCAATTACATTCTAGAGATTTGGATAATGGAATAAAAGGACATGTTTAACCCTTCAACTTTCGCTCTTTTCACCCAGTAACCTTAAAATTGGGGACCTTTTAATTTATTTTCTTTTTTTCCTTTTCCACAATATCTTGGGATTTAAATACTTCCCCAGCACAAAAATCTGTTAGGCTCCTTTTCCTTTTAGAACAGGAGTGGCTATCTCTTCTTTTCAGCACCAACTTTAAGTACGTTGAGGGTCACGTAGTAAGAAACAATTTTAAGAGAAATTTAAAATGGTCTACCTAAATAAACTTAAGAACAGATACCATCAATTCCAATTCAATAAATGAAACAAATAAAAATATTTGTTAGTTCTATCATGGCCAATAATGGAAAGGATGAGACTGAGGAGAGAAGGGAGAAGAGGAGATGGTGATGAATAGACGTGCCAAGACGTACATAGACAGACATGCACAGAGAGACAGAATGAGAGACAGACAAAAGAAAAAAAACGAAGAAAAAATAAGAGGATATGAATGGTGCACATCATTCACTCAACAAACATGTATAACCACTGTGTACTTGGATCTGAGTGTTTGGAGTATAAAAATAACTATGGCATGATCCCTGCCCTGGAGAACTTACAGTTCAATGAATAATGTTCTTTGGGGGTTGGTGGGAGGCGGGGATACTAAGCACTCAAAAAGAAAAGTTATAGGGCTCTCCCATGGCTCACTCTTGGGAGAGCCTGGTGCTGACAACAACAAATCAATGGTTAAGATCCCCTTACTGGTTACCTTTAAAAAAAAAAAAAAGTAAATATTGCTAGAAATTAAATTAAAAACTAAATTTTCACCTAATGTTTGGAAATACAAGTTACAATCTTCTCTGGTTCTATTTAGCATATCCAATGAGCTGCTCCTGTTGATTATGTTTTGTTAATAGTCTTATCTTTTCTTCCTTCCTGTTGCCTGTCTCTCTTACTGTTTCTGCTTTGGGTTACCACATCACCAACCCCTCACCACTACTGTTGCATGGGTGCCTGGCTTACAGTAGGGGTTCAATTCATGGAATATCAGCTCTGATTTGAGCCAGAGCAGCATGTAGTTATTTGACTTTAGAAAGTAATTGAAGTAAAATGCACAGAGCTCTGCAAGTAACCAGATTGAATTTAACAATCATTTGTTGAAGTATATTGTGAACAAGTTTTGCAAGATCAAAAAATGAATAAAAACATGGTCTTGACACTCCAGACTACTGAGCCTGGTACATAATTGGTGATCAGCAGATGTTAGGGAACTGTGATCCCTATGCTAGCAGAAGTATATTATTAAATTATTCTGCTTAACAAGCCATTTGCATGTTTTTCTGAAATTGACCTTTCAGATGGGTTGGCGTGTTCCAGATCAATCTTTGAACTCAATCAATTACTACATATGCCTGTTAGTTGATATTGAATTTCTACTAAAACCATTTTCATTGTATGTTGTAAGTCCTTTCGATAAGTGTTTCAGTGTTAGTTTCTCAAAATAAGTAATTGATTTTCTGTGACTTGTAGATCTTCCTTATATATAACCCACTGCTTTTTAAAAAAATTATTCTTTTTAAAATTTTTTATTTTTAATTTTTTTTACATAGAAAATTGGCTTTTCCCCTCTGCCTTGAGTTGAATGTCCCCCCCAAAACTTAATCCCCACTGTAGCTGTTGAGGGTGGGAAATCCTATTATGGTAATCGACAGGTGGGCCTTGAAGAGGTGATTAGATTGTAGGACCATGCTGTAGCTCAATAGATTAATAATGATGGTCAGAGGTGTGGTTCAGAGGGCTTTAAAAAGAGAGTGAATGAAGAGGTTAGTCTCTTTTCCTCTGCTCTATCATTTTCTGCCATGTGAAACCCCTGGATCACTGTCACCCCCACCAAGGCCTTCACCAAATGTGTTCCCTGGACTGTGGACTTCCCAGCCTCTGAAACTGTAAGCAGTAAATTTCATTTTCTTTATAAATCACTCAGTTCCATATATTTTGTTAAAAGCAACAGAAACAGACTAATACACCCCCCTTTGGGCGTGTAGGCCTATGAAGTTTAACACATGCATAATTTGTGTAAACAACTACATAATCAGGACCCTCCCTTTCTTTAAAGCAAAATACTATTTGTAGTATTTTTGTAATAGATAGGGCTTCAAGCAAATGAAGACCTTTCACAATTTCTTATTTCTTTTTGACGATTACTGCCTCATTAGATACCATTAGAGAGAATGAATGTAACAGAACTTTAGTCCCAACTCATGGAATCCAGCATTTATTTATTTATTGAAACATGATTGTACATATCTGTGGGGTACAGCATAGAATGTCAGAACCTGTGTGCAATACGTGATGCTCAAATCAGGATAATTAGTATATTCAATATTGTACAATGTAATCATTTTTTGCAGCCCTTTACCCATTTCTTGCTACCACCCCCGACCCCTTCCCACCTCTGGTAGCCTCTGTTCTGTTCTCTCCTTTTGAAAGTTCAGTGAATTATTGTGATTGTTGTGTCTTTCTTTCCTTCGTTTTTATTTTTATTTTTTGTTTATCTTTTTATTTCCCACTTATGAGCGAGGATATACAGTATTCCTCTTTCTGTGACTGAATTGAGGATTTATTTTAAAGAAATAAGCCCAGAGAAAATATTGAAGCCCAGATATGGAGGCAGGATGGACATCTTTTTCATTTAAATTAATTAGAAATGAGTTTGTCAACTCCTTTGTACTCAAAATGTTTTATCAATCTTAATATGGTTGGTGCTAATAACACTCAGGTCCACTTATTTGCATGTGGTAAGTCTCAGGCTAATGAAAGGGGAGTAACTCAGATTATCCAAAATGGCTACTGTGAAAATGGATTATTTTTAGTTTGGAGTGCATTGTAGATACACTCTGCAAACATGCATTTTAGCAGATTTAACCTGTCAAGTGTCTTGTTAGGTCAATTTAAAAAATGGTTGTAATCGTTAGTCCAAGTGGCTGGGCCATGAGAGAGACACTTAGTAGTATGTTGGGTGGTGGGTGGAAATAAGCCCAGGATTAAGACTTAGTCAGAGTGATCTTTGAAACAGGTTATACTGGAGAGGTGTCCATTGATTTGGAGTTTCTTCTACATTCCAGGCTTTTCTGCATAAAGCATGTGGAGGAATTATTTCCTGATGGTTGCATTCTTTGGGTGACTTGATAACAATTTAAAGCTTTGTAAGACTAAGACCTTAAAGCAGAAATAGCTCTTAGCATTCTAAGTCTTTAAAATGGTGCCTACTACCTGGTATAGAATATTTGGTATTTCCATGCTTCCTTTGACAGAATTGTCTCAGTGTATTCTGTCAATGAAAGAATAATTTTCATGTTCTTTTTTTTTTTTTTTGTCTTTTGTCTTTTTCCGTGTCCGGCAACGAATCGCAACCCTCAGTGTTGCCCCCGTACCGGACCGGGGACCGGCAATGGGATCGCAACCCTCGGCGTTGCTCCCGCGCCTCGCTCAGCCAGTGAGCGGGAACCGGTCTGTATGTGGGATCCGAACCCTT